GCCCACAGGAGGTGCTTCTGTTCCCAGGGAGTGTCACACGCACACTCAGCAGCTGGGCCTCCTTTCTACTGGCCACTCCAGGGTCCATGGACCGTCTGAGATTCCCAAAGCCTGGACACGGATCCCCCCTGGTACTTGGGACAGTTCTGAGGGGGCATCCAAGTGGCGAGAAGTCAGATGGACTCGCAGTGGGAGATGTTCCCGCTTCAGTTCTGGGCCAGTGTTCCAGGAGGTTAGCCCTCCTTATGGAGACTGAGAGGAAGGAGGGAGGGAGGGGGGAGGCCTAGGGTTCAGATCTCGGAAAGGACACACTGGCGGGTGGAATCTCACACACTCCGCCTCTCTGCGTCCCCGTGTCCCCCCACCCCGGCCCAGCCAGCAGCCCAGCACAGCTCACATGCCAGCCGTCCCTTCCCTGCTGTGTGACTCTGGGCAAGCTTCTTCCCTCTCTGTGCCTCATCCTATCCATAAACAGAGACTACACTGAAGCACCTGGATTCCTGAGCAGAAAGAGGAGAGGTGGCCGGCTGGGGCGGGAGGAGCCCCCTGGGCATGTGTCCAGGTTTGGGGCAAGCAGTGCGGTTCCCGCTGGAGCAGGGCCCTCATGGCAGCGGTGGCGCCAACAGCTCCCACTTCTCGAGCAGCCTCGACGCACCAGGCACGGAGCCCAGCCTCAGGCCTGGCCCGGCCCCGCGAGCCTGTGGCAGGAGGGAACCCCCGGCAGAGGAGACAAGCCCACATGGCATCTCCCCTGCGCTGGGCTCTGCAGGAACTGGGCCGGTTCAGTGAGAGCAGAGGGAGTCAGGGAGGCCTCCCTGAGGAGGTGACATCTGGTGAGAAGATGGGAAGGACCAGACGGCCAGAGAGGGGAGAGCTCGAGGCTGAAGGCTGCGTGGTCGGGGGCAGGCCACGGGGCGGCGGGGCCTCAGAGAGCTGGCCCTGCCCGCCACCCTTCCCCGCTCCCTCTGTCTGGGGCTGTCCTTTCCCGTGCTGGGCCCTCCCAGGCTGCCCACTCCAAGCCTGAGGCCTCGTGGCGCAGCGGGGAAAGCGGCCAGAGGCTGTCTCACGATCATCGCAGCCCACGGTCCGCGGACGCGCTAGTTAGTGCAGACTTTCACTTGACCCGCCTGAGATCCAGCAACCACCTGCTCTGGGGGGAGGTGGGTGCACAGCTGGCGTGACTGGCCCAGCGGCCGCCGCAAAGAGAGGCCAGGCCTCCAGGCGGGACTGAGTTGGGTGGAGGCCAGAGGATGCGGGGTGGAGCCAGGTGCCATCCGGCTGCTTCCGCCCACTCGGCGGGGCCGGTCCCGGAGCACCTGCCGCTCCCTCTGGTGCCGGGCAGCCAGGTGCCGCGTGGGGGCACAGGGCGAGGATGGGGCAGGAGGGTCACCGCTGGAGCCGGGAGGAAGGTCCATGCGATTCTGCAGCGACCAAGAGCCCGAGACAGTGGGTGGCTCTGGAGGTCCTGGGTCTGCGTTAAGTGAGGGACGAGGTCAGCGTGAGGGTGGACCTTGGCAGTGGGCAGGCGCGGAGGAGGCCACCAGGCTCCCTTAAGTGAGGGTGCACTGGCCGGCACACCCACCGGGATGTTTCACGGCCTCTGGTGTCCGCGGAGCAGGTGCTCAGGTTCGTTCCCGGGGAAGGAGGGGCCTCCAACCGCTGAGAGAGTGCTATGGCTCCCGCTCCAGGGCGAGTCGAGTCGCGGCGACAGCCCCGGCGGCTTGGTGCCGGCCACACTCATGGGACCTGATGGCTCGCCCAGCCGGGCAGGGCCCTCGCACGTCATGTCCACCCGCCCGGCCACCTCCCCCTGATCTGCAGGCCCGCCTCTCGGGGACCTTGTTGCCTGTCAGCCCCTCCCTGTCAGGTGCCGCTGTGGCACCGAGGAGGAGGGATCGCCCACTGGGCCCAGAGTGGGGCGGCTGCCTCAGGCAAGGTTGCCAGACAAGGCAAAGAAAACCAGGGAGCGTTCAGTTGTGTGTAACTTCACACAAACAACTGACAACTTTTGGTATGAATAAGTCCCATGCAATATTTGGGACTCACTTGCAGGAAACACGATCTGTGTTTGCAGCTCAGGTCTAGCTGGGTGGCCTGTGTTTTACCTGGCAGGGTGGAGCCTCTCCTGGGGTGCCCCCTGGAAAGGGTTAAGAATCCAGGTTGCCGGGGGCAGGCATTGGGTTAAGAGATGCATTTCAGGGATGCGTTCCTCCAGCCTCAGGATGGCACACGCCTCACCCAGGTGACACGCACGTTCCCATTTCTGAGATGAGGAAAACGAAGCTTCCTCATGGCTAAACGGTGCTGACCATTACGGAAGGAGCTGGGGGTGTCCACGGGTGGCCCCAAGGCTGGCTGAGGCCCACAGATGTGTGCCATTTGCCTTGCACAGGATTTTAAAAGATGCCAACCTGAGGCCTTCCCTGCTGTCTGCTCCACTAAGGCCCTGCTGGGGCAGACCCTCCCCAGGCCTCTCCACCCCGCCTCACGCCCCAGCGGGAATTCTGGCCCCTTTGGCGTCCAGAGTTTCCAGCCCCAGCACCAGGGGAGGGCCTGGGCCCCGGGGGGCCACGCCTCTCTTGAGCTCCGAGACCCTGCGGCCCTGGGCAGTTAAGAGCCCCTGCAGCCTTGCCTGTCTCATCTGGAAAGAAATGCTACCACTGGAATTTCCCTCAGGGCGGTTTCAAGGACTAAGATGTGATAACGTGCACTGTACAGTGCCTAGCCCGCACTGACCTCCCGTGGGGTCCCTGGGGTGCCCCGGTGTCTAGAACAGGCTCTGCCCACGGGCGGGAGCTCGGCACAGGCTTACAAAAGAATGGAAAATGAGTAGCAGAAATGCCCACGAAACGTTGGCGGTATTCCTCCTCCCACTGCTCCTGGCAGTCTGTCCCTCCCTCCACACCTGCTGGTTTGTTCATAAATAAATGCAAACCGGAACAGCCCACACCCTACCTGTTCAGGGAAGCAGGGGCGTGGCATCCAGAGCCGCCCTGTGTCTTCGGAACCAGCAGCTTCTCTGAGCTTTCTGAGGTGGGGCCTCTCCCTGCTCTGCAGACTTCCAGAAGGGTCCTCTGGGTGCTGCCCCTCTAGACAGAGGCCCCAGAAACGCCTCTTTCCAAGGCCCGACATTGCAGCCAGTCCCCCAGCAGAGCCGTGCAGCCGAGCTGCTCTTTATCTCTAACGGAGGTCCGGGTGCTCGGGGCCCGCGGGCTGGGTACCGCCTGCTCCCCGCCTCTCTGTTTCCTGAACCTGAAGTCCACACTCATCAAGCAATGAACAGAAGCTCTTTAGAGGTGGCGGAGGCCCATTGAGGCTGTGCCGGGCAGCGCGCGGGGATCTGCCTGCATGGGAGGATGACAGGCCCCTCTGCTGCCGGGCTGGGGCCTGAGGCTGCTGGGATCTTGGACTTCTGGTCTCCAGAACTGTCAGAGGCTAATTTCCTTTGTTAGGACAGCCCTGGGACACCCGTACAACTCCCTCTCCGGGACAGGACAGGGACATCCCTGATGCTCCACCCCCAGCCCCCACCCTCTGTGGATGGTACGTGAGGCTCTTTCTTTATAACCCACACAACTGCCTGAATTCGTTTATCTCGTGGGGACTAATCCCTCTTGCCTGTTTCTCCCTCCTGCAAAGCGAGCCCCATGCGAGCAAGGACACCACTCGCCCTGTTTACTGCTGTCTGCCCAGCACCCTCGGCAGTTTCTAGCACAAAGTCAGTGCTCAGTGAAAGTTTTTGATCGAAAAGAGGAGCCCGCTGAGTGGGATCTGTGACTGCTCGGAACCAGTTAGATGTCTGGTGTGCAGCGTTCAGGAAAAGCGGGTCCTTAGTCCCAAAGAGAAGAAAATATGATTGATTCTATCAGTCTCCAAGGCTCAGAGCAAGGCCACCTCTTCTGAGAAGCCTCCCCTGATTTCTCCATAGTTAGCTCCATTCATCTCACAAGACCACCTTGTGGACACAAACCACTGCCTACACACATGATCCACTGTATATACACGTGATCCACTGCCCACACACGTGATCCACTGCCTATACACGTGATCCACTGGCTACACACGTGATCTACCGCTTACACACATGATCCAATGCAGCACACGCACTTAGGTTCTGCTCCCCACCCCTGGCCCTGGGGGCAGCCACCGTCTAACCAGCTCCACATCCCCTATGCCTCAAACAGCACTCTGTCCCCACATCTGCTAAGTGAGGAAGGAGCAGGCGGGGCACTTGCTCGTGTTCAGGGGTCACCGTGCCCAAGTTCAGCCTTGACCCTGGACCTCAGACAGGAATTTCCTTGGAGCAATGCTTCCAAAGCTGACCGTGGAGAATGACGTGTGCATGTGTGTGCGGGAGCATGTGTGAGTGTCTGCATTCATGCACAGGCCCCGGTCATACCACACTGTTCTCCCGAAAGGTGTGAAGACACCCTGAGTGAGGCTAGGGGCTGGAGAAACACTGTGGTACAGTCTTCTGGGGGCAATGGGGATCCTGGGTGGGGAGAGACGGGGGATGGTTCGCCTCCCTGACGGCCCACCCCATGCGGCGTCACTATCCCCTCCGAGGGACCACCTCCCTAGCTGAGGGCAGCAGGCTTCTAGAAGCCGAAGGAGCAGCTCCTCATTCCAAGGGCCAACTGCAGGGCCCTGTCCGGGCCGAGCAGGCGCCCATCATGGTCCCGGGGAGGGTCCTGGGGCCTTGCTGGATCCTCTGGTACATGAGATGGAGGCCCCGGGTCTGCCAGAGGCCTGCTCTGAGCCCTGGGGGTTCTGGACCACCTCCCCCATCACACAACTCCACTGACACGGGTCCCAGAAGATGTATTTACACTGTGCAACTTAAGCCCCGCCGGGCACTGTCCCCACCAAGCCTCACCCAGGTGGGACCACGTGGCCCAGTGCCTGGAGACACCCTGCTGTGCCAAGTGGGAAAGGTCTTCCTGCCCTGGCAGCGGCGGCAGCACCAGCCCCCCCACCCCGCCCCACGGCGGCCTCCTCACCTCTCGGTCCAGGCCGGCCGCCACCGTCACGATGTCCCCTGTCTCGCTGTTGATGGTGAACATGTTCTGGGAGGGGCTCTGCGGGGTCTGGGTCACGATCCGGTAGCGCACCATCCCATTGGCCGTGGTGCCATCGTCAGCGTCGCTGGCCGTGACCGTCATCACGTAGGTGCCTGGAACAGAGACGGCAGCGCACATGGGACTCACCAGCCACACCTGCTGCGGGCCCGTGCCCGCACCCTGGCAGACGTCAGCCGGGACCATGTCTCCCCGGAGGCTGGACATGGTGTGAGTCCTTCCCCTCCCACGGGCTGGGGGCCTGCCAGGCCCTGGGAAGTGCACCTGTCCCTCCCAGCCCCACACACTCCTGCAGAACCACCGGTGGTTTTCTTGCCGAGCTCAAGTCCACTCTGAGGTCATCAGCGGGCAGAGAGATCGAGGCCCTGGAGGAGGGGGAGCCGTCTGGGGACAGCGGAGCCAGCGATTCTGGCTCAGAACCCAGCACTCTCCCTCCTGAGCCACACAGCCCAAGGCGCCGGCCGGCAGTGTTTGCCGAGGATCCAGATCCCACGTGGAGGGCTGCACGGCCGCGACTCGGTACACGGTAAAAAAACAGGGCTGGGTGTACAGTAGGGGCATAACAGGCACTTGAGGAAGCTAAGTGAGGAGAGGCCCCTCGGAGTGGGGGAGCTGTGCACACGGGGTGCAGGGGCAGACGGAGCAGTAAATCCAGGGTGCGCGTGGACACATGGTCACCCGCACCTCCAGGCCGGGGGGGGGGGGGGGGAGCCGCCCACGCCATTTCCCATCCACATGCCAGGGTTGAGGTCCGCAGGGGACGCTCCAGCATGGTCCCCTGGCTCCTGAGAGCGGCACGTGGGGCTCCTACTGGCATCTTCCCTTCCCCGTGGCGGGAGGCCCTGGTTGGACAGCACACCCCTCCCCTGGCCACAGTGATCGGGTCTGCGGTGGGCACCTTACCCAGTCAGGGCCTGTGATCAAGGCGGAGGTGCTCGCCGGGGTTACCGGGAAACCAGCGTACTGTCCCTGCTGTTGCCCTAGGCTGGGTCAGCGTGTGAGGTTGGGGCTGTGGTCACTTGGTGCCACGAGGAAGGAGAGCGAAGGACAGGGCCGTCTCGGAGGAAACAAAACCAAGAGGGGCTCGGGTGACCACCTCCTCCCAGGCAGCCCCTGGGTCAAGCGGTACCTGAAGCTGTTGCCGCTATACTTAAGGCTTCTTTTATAAAGCGGTTTTAGGCTCACAGCAAAATTGAGGAGAAGGTACCTTACAGACTCTTTGTGTACCTGAACTGATATATTCCCCTTCTTGCCTCATGTCATTTGAGTTTTTGTCACTTGCAACCCGGAATTCTGACTGGCACAGGCGCCCGGCCCTGTGACTGCCCCTGGAGTCGGGCATGGAGCCCTAGTCCTGAGCTGCGTGTCCTTTGCTCAGCTCTATGTTCCCAGGTCGGAACAGTGTGCTGTCCAGGGCCCACAGGGGTAAGGGAGTATGGGCACAATCCTCCACAGGGTCCTTTCTTGGGGGGTGCTGGCTTAAGCTGAGACTGAACTGGGCTTGAGGCTTGGCTGTGCAGCTGGGCCTCCAGGTCTGTTGGGATCCAAGGTGGTGATGGGTGGGCGTTTTAGTCATCAAACATGCACTGGACACCTGCTCTGGACCAGCACGGCGCTAGGAACTGGGCAGACAGTGGTGGAGACACTTTCGTGGTCCAGGCAGGGAGCCTTTTCCAAGTTCTACCAGTGTTCCGGCTGCGCGGATGTGTGTGCAAAGCAGGTCCTTCTGCCTTCCCGCGTCCAACCCCACCGCAAGCAGCGAGGGCCTGACTGGGAATTGGCTTTAGCTTTCAGCTTTTACTGAATAAAAGCTTCTCAAAGCAAATGCATTTTATACAACAGAAAGGAAAGCAAACAGAGACAGGAAAGTGGAAATCTGTTTACAGGGCACAGGTTTTCTATTCTCATCCACCAACCAGAGAGGAATGGGCCCAGGACCAGACTTTTCACACTGAAAGGATGGGAAGTCCCAGCCTGGGCGGTGCGGGACGCTGCAGGAAGCGAGGGCCCAGGAGCTCCAGGCCCACAGCGCCTCCCTCCCCCAACTTGTTCAATCCACAGATTTACATAGTTTTTATCAAAATGTAATTCACACATCAGAAAATTCACCCTTTTAAAGTGCACAAGTGCAATTGTCAATAGAGCGTATCTAACTCCAGAACATTCTGTCACCCCCAGAGAAAGCTGTATCTGTTAAGAGTCGCTCCCAGGACCTCCCTGGTGGTCCAGTAGGTAGAACTCCACACTCCCAGTGCAGGGGGCCTGGGTTCGATCCCAGGTCGGGGAACTAGATCCTGCATGCCTGCCACAACTAGGAGTCCGCATGCTGCAACTAAGAAGTCTGCATACCACATGCTGCGACGAGGATCCTGCGTGCCACAACTAAGACCCGGCACAGCATGCATGCATGAATGAATGAGTGAATGAATGAATGAGTTGCTCCCTCCTCCTCCCCAGCCCCCAGCAATGCTCATCTACTTTCTGTCTCCAGATTGGCGTTTTCTGAACACAGCTTATAAATGGAATCATATACTATGCGGCTTTTGTGTCTGGCGTCTTTCGAGGAGCCTAACGTTTTCAAGGTTCACTCCTTTTTATGGCTGAATGACATTCCAGTGTGCAGGGATACTCAGCCCACAATTACTGAGTGAGCACTTGCTGTGTGCAGACGCCAGGCTCTGTGCTCAGGATGTAGGAAGAGAACAAGCAGACAGACAAGGTCCCCCCGCCGAACACGCCAGTGAGCACAGAGAGAACAAACAGGGAGACACAGATCATCGCCAGCTGTGGTAAGTCCCTGGAAAGGGGAAGAATGCTCGCATGAATGAATATATAGAATAATGAGGTACGTGGGGTGCTACGGAGGAAGCAGGGACGACCTGAGAGATGGGGGTGGTGGGGTAGGGAGGGGACGGGGGCTACTCTGGGCAGAAGGCCAAGGCCCTGGGGCAGAGAAGAGCTCCAAACGCTTGAGGAACTGGGGAAAGGGGGCATGTGATGGGGCTGGAGGCAGGCTGGGCCCGCGGCGAGGATTCTGGACTTTATTCTAAGATCACAGGGCAGTATTTTCATCAGGAGAGCGGGTCAAATTTTCGTTTTGAAGACACGCAGAGAACACAGACTGCATGCAGCCAGGAGTGCGGGGGCAAGGGTTGGTAGTGAGAATGCTAACTCACTCGCCGGATTTCATGGAGAACGGGTTGCAGTCAGACCAAGATGTTGCAAACCCACTAGGACATTTATTCATTCATTCAACACATCTTTATCAAGTGTCTTCTAGGGGGAAAAATATGGAACTTCAGTGTTTTGAGAACCCCAGGAAAAACATTCATCAAACACACCCACCTAACTTCATGCAATGGCTATTCTCGAACAGTGTGTAAACCCAATTCATTTTATTTTATTTTATTTATTTATTTTTGGCTGCACTGGGTCTTCGTTGCTGTGTGTGGGCTTTCTCTAGCTGCAGCGAGCGGGGGCTGCTCTTTGTTGCAGTGCGCGGGCTTTTCATTGCAGTGGCTTCTCTTGTTGCGGAGCATGGGCTCTAGGCATACGGGCTTCTGTAGTTGTGGCATGTGGTCTCAGTAGTTGTGGCTTGCGGGCTCTTTGGCTGCATCTTCGTTGCTGTGTGTGGGCTTTCTCTAGCTGCAGCGAGCGGGGGCTGCTCTTTGTTGCAGTGCGCGGGCTTTTCATTGCAGTGGCTTCTCTTGTTGCGGAGCATGGGCTCTAGGCATACGGGCTTCTGTAGTTGTGGCATGTGGTCTCAGTAGTTGTGGCTTGCGGGCTCTAGAGCACAGGCTCAGTAGTTGTGGCACACGGGCTTAGTTGCTCTACGGCCGTGTGGGATCTTCCCAGACCAGGGCTTGAACCCGTGTCCCCTGCATTGGCAGGCGGATTCTTAACCACTGTGCCACCAGGGAAGCCCTGTAAACCCAATTTTAATGAATTTAATTATCAGTAGAATTTCCCCAGAGGCATTAAGTATTTAAAAGAAATCCAGGAGGTTCTGTTTTTAGCAAATGGTGGACAATGTTATTTTAAACCCATCTTCCTCCTGAGGAAAACTAGAAAAACCGGACCCAGTGTGAAATAAAAACATCTCATTAAGGGCACTAGAGAGATACCAATGGCACAGACTCAGGGAGGGCGGGGCAGGCCGGAAAGGAGAACCCAAGACCGGGGGCCATCTTTCCTCTCAAGACATTTGCTGATTCCAGGGACTTCCTTGGCGGTACAGTGGTTAAGACTCCGTGCTCCCAATGGGGCCTGGGTTTGATCCCTGGCTGGGGAACTAAGATCCCGCATGCCACGACTAAAGATCCTGCATGCGGCCACGAAAATCCCACATGCTGCAACTAAGACCCGGCATGGCCAAATAAATAAATAAATATTAAAAAAAAAAAAAAGACATCTGCTGATTCCAAATTGGCTTCTGACAGCTGAAGAGCTACATGGAGCTTTCAACAGACTGATGGGAATGGGGGTAAAAACACTGAGCTTAGGGCTCTGCCATATGAGGGTGGAGCCTGGAAAATGCTCGAGTCTTTGGGTTGGACCCGGAAGGGCAGCGTGCTGGGAGTGAGGGTGAACAGGAAAGGAACCGTCCTAGCCGACGGAGGCACAGCTCCGTCCGTTGAGGGTAACATCTTACCCTCAAGTCACCTCTACAATTTTTCATACACAAGGCACAGTACGTAATGAACCCGGCACACAAGAAGACGAAACCTGACTGAAAACAGAGAGAAAGAACTGACCAGGACCAGACCAGGGGAGATTCCAATAACAGAGTCATCAGATGCAGATTAAAAACAATCAGCCAGAAAAGCTGAAGTGCACCCCCAGATATTCACATGGGACGCCCCGTTCTAGGCCCCCAGTACCAGCCCCCACCAAGGCACACCTGAGCCCCCTTCTCTACCATGAAGCTCCCCGGTCCTCTGCTCGTCTTTGAGTCTCTGCCTGTGATGGTGGCTGGTGACCCCCCTGCTCTGAACACACAGCCTCTGCTGGTTCCCACTGGCTGGTCTTCATTTATTTCCACATTACTGTTAGAAAAACTGGATGAGGGACTCTCTCTGTCCTTTGTTGCACAAGC